TTAAATAAAATTTTTAAATATAATTTTTAAATATCATTTTGTGATTTATCGCGCCTCTTCTTATTATACCACATCTTATGATACTCATCCGCTTTGTCTAAACAAACTCTACAAATCTTATTAATTTTTTTGTTTTTCATGAGGCTGTGGTATTGTTCTTTATCTCTCCATTTCTGACAAACAGCACACATTCTATAATTTTCAAAATCCACTTTTTCGTGTTTTTCAAAAGGCTTAAATGTTACTTTTATTTGGTCTGTATGTCTTATCGTGGGAAACATATATATTAATAAACATTTTTCATATTTCGGCCTGGATATGAAAAATGTTTAAGGAAACTAATTAAGCACCCGCTTATGTAGTGCTATTGAATGTGTCGCGATACTTCCCTTTCTCGCGTTCATCCAATGTGAAACGCTACCGTAGGGGGATTGGGGAAATTCTTCTCTCCTTCTTATGAGGGTTGGCGTGTTTGACTGTACCGAAAAACCTGATGGTCTTTTATCTGTCACAATAGTATATATTTTACTTTTTAAATATTATTCTTTTTTCTTGGTATTTTTAAAGTTTTTTATGTTTTGTAAAAAGGTTTTCAATATTTCTAATGTTATGGTACAGCATCGTCTGTATTTGGGTTGTTTTATTATTGCCTTTTCAACAGCCTCCAAATTCTCAATAGCTTCTATGTAATCATCGTAAGAGTTCATATATAAAATTACGATATATTTTTCTATGTAATATATAATGAGCGAAACACCCATCATCAAACCTATAGACATACCGGAATATAAGTATAAAAATTCAAAATACGACATGATGCCCTCCCTGCCTTTTCGCGGTATATTGGTGGCTTCTTCAACGGGAGGTAAAACCGTTCTGATACAAAACCTGATTTTAAATATATATAAAGGTTCGTTTGAGCGAATATTTATTTTTAGTCCGAGCGTTCATGTCGATGACACTTGGAACAGCGTAAAAACATATATAAAGGAACAAATGAACGTCGATACAGAAAAGGAAAAAACCTACTTCGAAGAATACAACCCCGAAGCTTTAAACCAAATAATAAGCACCCAGCACAAGGTCATCGACTACCAGAAGAAGAACAAGCAAAAAGGCTTACATTCTATTCTGATCGCTATCGACGATTTCGCCGACGACCCTAAATTCGTGCGCTACTCTAGTATCTTACATAGCCTTTTTACGAGAGGTCGGCATAATGCTATTTCGGTTCTCTTATCCACTCAGAAATACAACGTCCTGGCTCCGATCGTTCGACTGAATGCTTCTGCTTTGTTCATCTTCAGGCTTAAGAATATGAACGAGGTTAATAGTTTTTTAGAAGAAAACTCGGCTCTTGTGAATAAGGACGAACTCTACGAGATGTATAGATTGGCGATAAACGACGCCCCTTATTCGTTCTTATACATAAACACCAACGCCAAGGACACTGACAGGATGTTTTTTATACGATTTGAGAAAGCTATGACTATATCAGATCATAATAACGAATAATTACACAAATTCACAGGTGGTAATTTGTAATAGATTTTATCGCTCTTCTTTTCCTTTATTTCTTTTATGTCCCTTATCATTTCTTTCAATGCTTTAATTTGCAATCTGTCGATGTTACTCAGATCCAATTCGTTTTCGTTGATGTCGTTTATTTGATTAATACTATCGTTCTGATTATCGTTTTTTGACATTCTACCGCCCATGTATATTTATTACTTGAGTTTATTTTTAAACTAAAGTAATAAATCTTTCATTTAGGTTTTTTGTTATGCTTTTTATACACACTATCCCAAAATTTCGGATTGGCATTATAACGAGCTTCTACTAGCTTTTGGTGTTCTTTGGTGTTTATATGTTTCATATTTTCCTTTTCTGCTTCGTCCGTTGGTCTCTTCAATCCACATTTACACATATAATATTTTCTTCCCATGTATTACTATTAATTAGATTTATTTTTCATGAGATTTCTTAAGCTTTGTTAATTCCCCTTTTATATAGGTTATAGACCTTTTCATCTCCTCGTTCTCTTTTATGGTATGTTGCAAAGCGGACCAAAGAATGGGCACGCACATAGAATAGTCAAACCTCAGATATCCATCTTTTCCCTTTATAACAACGTTGTCCCACTCCCCCGGCATCTTCTCGGTTAAAAAGTCGTTGGCGATGAAACCGCAATGGGACTTGTCGCCGTGCTTCTCTTTATCTATATACTTATAAGTTTTGGGAACAATGTACTTTATCAGCTCAATGGCTTTTTTGGTTTCTAATTCTTTGATGTTTTCTTTAAGTCTTTTATCGGACGAGGGTCCTATGGAACCGGAGTAAGTAATGTTGCCTATAATATCGATGCCGGCATCTGCAACAGTCAAGACGTTTTTAGTTCCTATTTCTAGTATCGTGTCTCCGTTTGTGTCAGGATTTCTAAAAAATATTTGGTCTATGGGTCCTGCTAATTGTGTATGTGTGATACTTGCTTTTTCAAAGAAATTAACAGAACTGCCTAATACTCTGAATTCGGGCGTGCCGGTTGCTCCGATATCCACATCGAAATCACCTTCGGATGTCAATTTGCCTATTGTATTAACTGTGTCATTAAATACCGTTGCTTTATTTAATGTTATTCCTGCTACATCGTTTAATTGAATAAAAATATCAGATGGTGTCGGATCGGCTAACCTGTTAGATTGGATACAAAAATTCTGCTCGATTGTTGCAATATGATTTAATGAAAAATTGGCGTTTGATTGTTGGTATATTCTTCCTCTGCTATTTATTAAAACATTATTGTTAAAGGTGTTACTCGTTCCGTTAAAATTACAATCCCCGCTAAAATTAGCAGAACCACCACCCGCTACATTTAATCTCGTTGCTCCTCCTGCTATTGCTCCAATACCTAAATTATTACAATACACCGCCCCTCCCGCTGTTGCTGTATTCAATAATAATAAGCTCTGGCTATCATTTGATGTATTGTAAGCATTGATATTAAACGAATGTATTTTGATATAGCCTTGTGCGTTTTTCACTTGTAAAACTGCCGACGCGTCTGTAGTATTTTTAAATATTTCAATACCATTACCATTAGTTGATGTTATGGTATCTCCGTTCATTGTAATATTATTATCAACTTCTAAACTATCAACTTTCGTAGCTCCTCCTACCGATAAAAAGTATCCGCTTTCGTTTGCTGTACCTATTCCTACTTCTGCACTTGTTAAGCTTCCTAGTCTCATCCTGTTAGAATTATTCACCGCTGAATTATCGTTTAAAATCATAATGTTACCGTCTTCGGTATTGGCATTGGTGCATTTTAAATTATTATTAACATATATCCACTGGGCCGTCCCGTCTCTAATTCTTAGCGTTGGATTTGTATTATTAGACACTCTCCATAAAGAAATACCATTAGTAGAAATTGGTAATAATATCGTATCGTTATTAAATGATACGGCTCCGTTAATAAACAATTGCTTAAAAAACGTTGTTCCGTTTGTTGTGTTATTGCACTCTATGTAAGTGTTCGTGTCGGTGTCGTCGTTAGTTCCGTTAATTAATCTTATGGCACTCGCCGTTTCATTTATCGATAAATCCAACGAGACGTTGGCTTTCGTGGCGTTTGTGTATCTTTCAATACTTGTATTAGCATCCACCAATTCAATAGGATTGCTAACGCCACCACCTCCTCCGCTTACTCCTGCTATTAATCCATCCACCTCGCCCTTATTGTAAAAATTCGTTGTCAGTTGCGAAGTAGTCTGATAATTTGCTGTTAAAGTAGATGTTAAAGCGTAAGGAGCCAAAGCCGTTGCATCAATCCAGTTATTGGCGTCTATCTCGGTTTTGTTATAGTATGCGGTGGCAATTTCTGCCGAAGTTGAATAATCGTTGGTCAGCGTGGAATTTAAAGCGTAAGGAGCTAAGGCTGTGTTGTCAATCCAGTTATTGGCGTCTATTTCAGATTTAGAGTAGAAATTAATATTCAATTGTGCGGTTGTTTGGAAATTGTTTGATAAATTATTATTGATATCGGTAATAACCAAATCTTGACCTGCGACATCTGCTATAATAGGTGCTAATTGCGTATCTAACTGCGCCTGAGTTATCCCACCGCCTCCTCCTCCGCCAACTTCAATATTCGCTATTTCGTTATCTACATAATCTATTGTTGCGTATTGATCGCTTAATTCGGATACGCCCGTCGTGAAAATCTTGAATATTTGATTTGCGTAGATCGTTTTCAAGTTATTTACAGTAGCCATTATTAAATTAAGTAGATTATATTTAATTTAATAATGATATATTTTTACTCAGCTTTTTCTTCCTTCTTCTGTTGCCGTTTCTCCCGCTTCTTTCTGTTTATCTCTTCTTTATTTGCTTCATAATATGCCTTCTTCTGTTGTTTGTAATATTCTTTCTTATTTTGATAACATTTTTTCTTTGTCTCTGACACTGCCTCTTTATTACGTTCTCTGTATTGCTTGTCATATTCAGCCTTATGTTCTTTGTGTTTGTTTGCGTATTCCTTATGTTGTTCTCTTCTCGCTTCTATATTATCGTGGTAATTTTGTTTGCTCTTCTCTTTAATATATTCTTTGTTGTCTTGGTAATGTTCTTTTCTATCCCTTCCTTCAATTCTTCCGTTTAAGGTTGCCATTTCTCTAATGAAATGTCCCTCTCTTGCTCTTAACTGATCGTTGTTTTCACACGGGTATTCCTCTATTAATTCTATGTAAAAGTTTTTTACGCCTAGTTCATTCATCTTGCTGTATATCTTATGATGTATTTTTTTTGGATCTGCTCTTGTCTCTCTATGCTTTGCCATTCGCTTACATAATAGTTGTGTGGTGCTTCCTATATAAACATCTTCAGTAATTGTGTTTCTGATACAATAAATTTTTCCATTTTTGTAGTCTCTGGACATACACGACACCATATATTACTATAAATTAATATTTCTTTATATCAATTTATGGTATCAAATTAAATCAGTCTAAAACCGTGCTGGCACTTTCGGAGAGCTCGAATACATGCTCGCTCACCATGGTAACGAACACACGTTCGATACCTAAGGCGAAATTTTGGTTGGCTCCTTTGATTTTAAAAGTTATAAGAGACCCCATTTTCGTGTTGGAACCAGTAAAATTAACGTCGGGCTGTTTATCGAAATTTATACCTCCGATGAACTTGTCGTTGGCGTAGCGATAAATATCAATGCTGAAACCGTCGTAATACGGAGACATCACATTCACGGCCCTTCGTAAGAAATACATAAACTCGGCGATGCTCGTGATTTCTTGCTCGGGGAACTTCTTGTTGGCTATTTGGATTTGTGCCGAAATTTGCCTGTTGCTGTCGATGACGCCTTCCAGGTTGTCGATCGTCACAGCCATAGGGTGAAAAAAGTAATTCCACTTCTTCCGGTCGTAGTTTCCCGCGGTGTTGTCGTTGTCGATGTTGCTGTTGCTGAAGGTGAAGAACATCTGAGAGAGGCGAGTAGAAGATTTGACAATGTTCATGTTTATCTCGGTGTTTCCATTCGAGAAGGTTTGTGAAAAACTGTGATAGGCGGGATAAACCATCCTGAGCCTACCCCCTTTCAATAAATGTGAAACTATGTTATTATTAACGGTATTATCGACCTGGATCAGCTCACAGCGAAGGATCGCGTTTTGAATGGACCAGCTAGTTGTCGTGTTTCTTTCGGTAAAATATTTTCCGTTTTCGTCGTCCGTCGCTTGGTCTGCTCCGTTTGCCGCCGGATTGATTACGGGCTCTGACGCATCGGAAACGATTTCGAAGATAAATTCGATCGGGCAATACCGAATTGGCGGATAATATCCAGATTGAACGAAGCCGCAACAAGGCTTATGTCCCATCCGCACGAATTTTCCTTGTTCTATTCCCGTGGTATTTAATCTGGTCAGTTTAGGTAAAACGATGCCTCTGTCGTTTCTACTGGTGTTTGCTGTCGCATCGTGTCCTTCTATGCTGTAAGCGTAAAGTCTGTTAATTCTGCTGTCGTATCGCGTGAGGCAACCTTCCTGAATGTCGTCCAGATTTCGCACTTCTTCGGATTTGAAGGATTTCATTTGTTCGCATACCTGATTGTAATTGTCTATATCGTTCAACTGCTGTCCCGCTCCGTTGCATCTGTAGCGAGTGAAGAAGGCGTGGCTTTCACCCAAGGGTCGCAAATATTTATTGGCGTCAGTGTCGGTATTGACCAAGTCGAAGAATAAAGAGACGCTGGATAAATCTAAATAATTGTTGTCCTCTCCTGTGATCACGAACTTTAAATATTTGTTTCCATTGGAGGCGCTAAAGATGTTTCCGGATACGCTGGGGAAATGCACTTGCTTTCGATCGGTGATGTAGGCGGCGCTTTCGGGAAGCCCGAACTGGAGGGAATTTATCATATTGGGCTCACTTTCGGCTATAACTAAATCCATTTGTATATACTTTATTTAGATTTTTTATTATTATTATTATTTCCATTATTATATTTTTTATGGGCGATCAAATTTTTGTCCGTCTTCTGGGATGGCGTTGTCAATTGCGGTTGTTCCACGGCTTGATCGTTTGTTTCAACGATGCTCCTTATCGCCTCGTACCCCGAATTGTTCATTTTCCGAACTATACTGTTTTTAAACCTGAGAGTTTCGGGAGGTTTCCCCACTCTCGCGATTTCCTTCTTGCGTCTCTCTTTGTTAAGCATAATATAACGTGCTTAGATTATATTTATATCAGGCGTATTCACCAGCGGGCAAGGTTTCGCTCACTCCTTCAAAGGCGTCTATATCGTGATTTTTCAAAGGGTTTAAGGTATCGGTATAAACATTGACGGCTCCACCGTCTAAGGCACTCACGACATCCCCGACCTTTCTAAACCTCTTGTGCTGTTCCGTGTTGGGTTTAAAGCCCATGCTGAAGGTGGGGCTGTTGTATGTCCTAGTTTTCAAATTACGATCTGGAAAATCTTTAGCCAAGGTCAAAACCACCGGACCCGCCTGACTGTGTCCCACCAGTTCCGAAACCTGCGGGTTCTCTTTCAGTATCTGTTCTGCGGCTATATATCTTTCCATGTCGCGCACCCCGCCCAAAACACCAAAGGGGAGCTTCGTGAAATTCTCCAACCAATTAACGGCGCTCACGGTGCCTCCTACATACATTTTATTCCCCCTCACGTAGATTTTATTGTCAGTGTCGTACGCCATCCTGAGACCTTGAGTGTTCGTAATCTTGTTATTATCCTCTAGCATTTTGTTTATCTTGGTTTCTATTTTGCTCATCGTGTGTTTATATAAATAGAGTATAATTTTAATCTTTTGTTAATATATACAGTATGAGTTTTAGACCGCTGACTTACAAAAAAATATATGTAAATTCAAAGTACCGGACCAACGACAGCAAGACGTCTTCCAACTTCCAGATCGAATTAAGAGAAAATTTTGAAATCCCCGACGGGACGATAGCCCAAATACACGAGGTAGCAATTCCCAACACGTGGTATAGCATAAGCAGCAACAACAACAATTTATACTGGAGGCACCAAGTTTTACCGCCCGCAACACCGCAGGGCATCACCTACACGAGAATAGTCATTCCAGAAGGCAATTACACGGCACCCGAACTAGCCACCGAAATAGCCACGCAATTAAACGCCGTCTTCGATAATGTAGGAGTTAGTAGAACCAACAGCTACAGCGGAACATACAACAACCTAACGAACAAAATCACAATATCATCGAATTATACCGAAGTCATCTTCGTTCCTCTAACAGACGCGGATGTTCCCGGATTTGTTGGGTCCTTCTCCAATTCGGTAGATCTCAATAATCTGAACAGCATAAACGAGGTTCTGAGCTTTTCCGAAACCGTCGGCGACAGTTTTACCTCTGTAAATCCCTGGGTTACGGGATTTATAATTTTACTGCCCTATCACGATCTCTACATATCCTGCCCCGAGCTCTCCAACAACAATTTTCACAGCCCGACGAGTTTCACGAACGCCATAGTCAAGAAGGTCCCCGTGAATGCCCCCTTCGCCGGTATCGTTGCCGACAGTTACGGCATCACCGATTACGATTACATCAACGTCTCAAGACGCTCTATAAGGCGACTAACTTTTAGGATAACAGACGAGAGGGGCAACTTCATAAACCTAAACGGGGCGAATGCCTCTTTTAGCATCCTCTTTCATAATACGGATATGATGTGAAAACCGAAAGAAAATATATAGAATATTATATAGATGACCGAAGAAACTAAGGAATTGGCCCCCGTTGATGAAAACCCAGAACCCGAGGAAGCAAAACCCGAAGAGGCGCCCAGCGAAACCACCGAGACCAAGGAAGAACAGAAGCGAGTTAAAATTACAGAAGTCGCCAAACAAAGGGGAGAATGTAAGGACTGCAAGAAAACGATGTGCATGAAGTCCCTCAGATATTCCCACCCCGCAAAATGCGAAGGGAAGCCGAGCGACATATTACAAAAGCCCGTCAGAAAAAACAACCTGAAGCCAAAAATTAAGGTTCAAAACTTAGCCCCCGAACCGGAAGAAGACAACGAAATCTTTACGAACGAACCGCAACAATCATACCAACAACCTAAGCCTTTAACGAAAGCTGTTGTGCCAAGTGTTCCAACGCCCAAACCAACTATAGCACAACAGCCTGTTAATCCTTATGCTAATCTCAGCCAAAGCCAACTATTACAATTGCAACTGAGATCGATGAATTCGGAAATTCAAAGGAGGAGACAGGAGAAGGCCGAGATGTTGGGAAAAGCTATGTTTTCTTCAAGAAGTAAAAAATCTAAATAAATAATATATATATAATACATGGTCTTATTTAACAGGTACAAATTCGCGCAACAAAAGAAACAGAAAATGAAAAAGTCCCTAGACAATCCCGTAGTGGAAGACGTGGGCGGAGCCTCTTTTAATAAACACAGCCTAGACTATCTGATGAAGCTTAAAAAAGAACTCGAAGGAAGAGAGGCGCAGGTAGCGAACATGTCTTTGAAGCGGAGACTGTTAGAGGGACAGATGAAAGCAAACTACGAGATCGAGTTGAACAGATTGAAAGGGGAGATGCACAACCCGAGAATACCCGAGACTTCTCTAGAACATCTGAAAAAAAGATCCGAGATGTTAGAAAAATTGAGCGATGCAATTTTCTAAATAAAGATATAATATAGAATGGAAGTTAAACAAGCGAGACGAAAACCACAAAAAAACTTAACCAAAACCGAAAAAATACAATTTCACAGGCGGTCACGATACGAAGACATTATAGATTTAGTGAATGACAACGAGGAAGCCCTAAAACCCTTTCCTAACAGAGACGCCGTATTCTTCAAACAGAGCAACAAGGGGACCCGCTTCGATGGCAAAGATCATTTGGATAAGCTTAAGGTTCAAGAAAAACAGATCGCCGACAGAATGGCGAGAGAGCTGATGTTACGACAATACGCCTCGGACAACGAATTAACACACAGAGCCTTATTTACGCAACACGACAACGACGGACCTCAGGTATTCAGCATGGAAACCAACGACGCCGCCACCGAAGATTTCGGAAACGGCGACGATTTCATGGATCCGCAAGAAGGGGACCCGAGTTACACGAACGCACAATTAACGGAGCTAATACAAAGAGCCGAAGACGCCAGACGAAACAGCAACCAAGCGATAACCGAAGCACACGCCCAACAAATGGAGGTAGATCAACAGGGAGGCGACGGCGTTTTACACAGCTTAGGCAGAGGTTTAGCGAGAGTGGGGCAAAACATAGCTTCGGGAGTGGCGGCAGGGCAAGATTTGCGAACAGCGGCAATAACTGGAGTAGCAGAACCACTGATAAGCGGTGTCGGGGACATGGTAATGAGACGAATATTGCCACAGCCCCGCCCCTTGCTGGACATCGACCAAGCCGTTAGAAACGCAAACGCCCAACGACCCGCACTGCCACCGAACGGTAATATTTTAAGCCCTTCTATAATCTTGCAACCGCACCAGCCCAACCTAGGAGCAACACAGCAACCTTTACCACCCGCCGCGGCACAACCGGCATTGCCAGCACCAGCACCAGAACCGGCACCACCGCCGCGACCGGCACCGACGCCGAACTTTCAGCAAGGCGGTTCATCGAGCTCAAGCGGCAACGCGAACACACAACAACCGCCACAACAGGAACAGCAAGAAGAAGCGAGACCCGCCCCCAAACGACGAATGACAAAGAAAACCAATTTGAAAGAAAGCGCCAGAGCCGACGCCACCGAAACCAGAGAAGAACAAAACATGAGACCCGCCATTATCCGCAGTAAAATAGGAATACAAAGGCTTAGAGAGGTATTTGAAGACGCCAACAACAAAAAGACGATAACCGGCGCCACTTACAGAAAGTTCAGGAGCGGCTATAACGCGTGGATAGGAGCGAAGGGAGACCCAGCGATGAAAAAAGCCCACTTGAAAGAATTGCAAAAACTCTATCGGGATACGGTCTATGGGTCTTGAGCCAAAGCTTGAGCCAGAGCTTGAGCCGAATTATCTTTCTTCTCTTCTTTCTCCCGAACCACT